TCGCTGTCTGTGTCCCACTTGATTACCACCTATCTCTCTCTCTCTACAAGGAAGATGAGCAATAGCGAACTTCAGCAATCAAACAGCATCATACACATAAGACCAGATAGTCGTGACCTCAAACCAACAGCAGAATTGCATCACGAGTTTCACCAAATAAGAACACACCAAGAGCTCATAATTGACAATGCTGAAATTGTCTCATCATCATCATCAATGAAGAACCAATGTTGATATCCTATCTGGCGGTCGGCGCCCAGACTACAGATGGCAGATCCTATCTAGCCTATACTACAATGCCGACGTCAACAGCTTTCCCGAAGTACGAGCATACAGCGACCAATGTCGCACGCTTCCAGCACCAGGTATGTCTCTCGCCTCACTCACAACCTCGTTCCCCAACACACAGATGCCACTTGCACCCAAGGACCACCCTGCGCCACACCCAGCTTACAGCAGTGCAGCTCGGCTATGGCAGCCTGCTCCTTCCTGCTTGCCCGTGAGCGCGTGAGTGCCAGCGAGCTTCAGCGCAGCATGCAGCCAGCACCCGAATGAGCAATGTGGAGGCAGGCCCTTTGCTATAACGAAGTGGCCTGCCTGCGTTCAGCCCCAGGAAGCTTCCAGTAGACCCCGGTAGCCTGAGGCCCAGCACGAACGAGAACAGGCCTTGGGCCTGAGGTGGTTGCATGCACCCAACTGCCTTTGGCCTGTGTTTGGCCCAGTACCCGTATCCAGCCCAGGGCCTGCTTTCCATACATTCACACAGGCGGCCCAGGGCCTGGGTTCTCTCAACCAACTGGCGCTGCCCAACTGCCTGAATTTCCTTAGTTGCACAGTGGCCGAAACAGGGCCCTGAGAGCCTCGTCGAGCCTGCCTTCACTTAGGGCGGCCGACGTGCTCCAAAATGGGGCCGAGTGGGGCTCCTAGAGGCAGTGGCCTCGCCTCTCCTTTTGGTCTGGCTTTGTCTCCCCTTTTCTTTCTTTAATTAACTCTTGTTCGTCTGTCCTCCTGCGCAGGGAATAATTGGAGTGTTCTCTATGTCAGATGCCCTGAATGATACTTCAATCATGGATCATTTCTGCCCATATATCTTGCTTGCAACTTGACGTGGCAATCTGCCACAACCCTCAGCTATCTCCTATCTTTACTAACTCCTACAGCGCAGATGTCAGATCAGATATCAGGACGACAGGACCAGACAAGGACTCCGACCAGCTCTCAACTCTGATGTGCCCAGACACTTGAGTCCTGACCTTCAGACCAGACCGAGTGTAGACCAGACAGCAGCAGCGACCACCAGAGAGGAGGGGAAGTAGAGGTACTCGACACACACTCAGCATGCAGCCAGGTAAGGGGAAAGAATTTCTTCTCTCATTCGCAGACGTCGATGAAGTCTCCTCGATTGCTCCACACTCCACGCTCCACGCTCAGGTAAGATCTCCTCCTTAGCCCCTTCCTCTTCGGCCAACTTCCTCCTCCTAATCCCATCCACCTCTCTTCTCACACTTCCACCATAGCCAGCATCTTCAAGCCAGCATATCCTCCTCGCCGGCCTTACTCATGCCAGCACTTCAGTGAGCGCAACAAGTCACTGCTCCGATACCAAATTGCAAGGAACCTGACTGTTCATAGCTTGCGGGAGTGTATCTCATTGCATGCATAAATGTCATCATACCATAGTTGCGGCGCATGTGTGCGGTGCGCTGTGCGCTGTGCGCCATGTGCCCAGGAAATAAAAATAAAAAAATGCCAAACCCCCTCTTCCCCCGCCCCCAGGGGTGTGTGTGTGTCTGTGTGTGAGAGAGAGAGAGGGAAAGAGATGGTGGAGGAGACATGGGGGAGGAGAGACGGAGGAAGAGAGGTGAGGGAGGAGGTGTGTGTGTGTGTGTGTGTGTGTGTGTGTGTGTGTCGTCATTTTGAATGTGTGTGTGTGTGTGTGTGTGTGAGAGAGAGAGAGAGA